CACTGAGCAACTATGTCTCGCTTGTGTACTTGTGTACAGTAGCCATAAATTGAAGAATTTTTTTCATGCGTTTTGAATCGCTTGTTTATATTTTTTCACATAATAGTACCTTAAAAGATAGCCTACCTGAGTTGTCAATCACGCCTTGTTTAATACATCTTGAATACACCCAAAATCTGTTAAACTTTTTATTCAGAATTTTTAGAAAAATTAAATTTTAGTGGGTTAAAGGGCGCTAGAAAATCGCGTTGATTTTTAAAAATTTTATTTTTTTGCTGACTGCTGGGCATTTTCTTCCATATAAGAGTAGTTGTAGAGTATTCTTTATATGGAAGAAAATACACAACACCATCAGTCAAACAAATTATTAAAAATTAACGCAATTTCCCAGCGTCTTAATTTACACTTTAACCTACTAAAATTTAATAGGCTATAAAACTGCATAACTAAAATTCTGAATAAATTATTATAATTTAGGTACGAAACTTTAAATGTGGATTTATGTGGTGCTGGTTATGTAATGTGCTAGACTTTTATAAAAAAATTATAAACATAAAATAAACAAAAGAAAAATTGCCAAAACTGGTCAAAATGTCACTTAACTTAATCAGCTGGCCACAGGTATATATGTATGTAAACTACTCTGATTTAGACTTATGGGATCTAAGTAGAAAGGTATTTTCCCACTCTTTATTTCTGTGCAAAAAAGTCATTTAAGGGGATTTTTTCAAAAAAAAAGTCTCTAAAGGTGTTATTACACGATATGTATTTGTATGTGTACATGCCACTTTTTACATATGGAAATGCCAACATATCGTGTAAAGGCAAATTAGATTTGTTTCTGTACAAAGCAGATGCACGTACATACGAAATAGAAATGTTTCTATTTTTATCTGACACACAGATGTTATTTCATTTTCAAAGAACGTATTTTTAAATATTTAAATTTAGACTGTGAATTTGACAGACATACGCAATTACATATGTATTGAAAAAATCACATTTACAAATACATATCGTGTAAGAACACCTTAAGAAACTATTTTTATTCATAAAAAAACTCCATTTTTGTATGTATTTTCAAATAGGTCCAGCTCACGTAAATCTTAATATTTTTCGGAAATATTTTGGTGGACATCTTAAAATATAATAGATTTTATATTTCCAATGGAAACACAGTATCGATTTTTTTTTGTATGGGGAGTGATGCAGTCTAATGTACATAACACATAACTTTATCTAACTAATCCCTTTATAACTTTTATAAATAATCCCTTTTTTTGACTCATTTATCGACATGCATTTTATCGTAGACTGGCTGCGTCATAACTCATATCTACCCCGAAGGGGCACTCGTTGCGGATAAACGCCTTCAAATTTTCGATCACATAGTGGAGGTCAACAGCCGACCAATAAATTGCAGCGAAATGACAACACTAAAA